TAACGTATTAATAGACTTTAACTCAATAAACTAAATAAATAATATGTCATCTGTATCAAATATTGTTTTTTCTAACTAATTTTGAGCAAGCTCACAAAACAACTGGAGAGTCTGTCATATGATATTTTTACAACTCTTTCATCATGCAAGTATTATCTAGCACAATAGCCCCCCCTGCTGGTGAGCTGTTTAGTAAACGCCTTGGGGTTCAAATGTCCTCTGAAAGTCATTCAGTCGCTCGAATTTTCTTTTGCAAAGTGGCACAAGTGTGGCGAGTATCCAGCTCCTTTTACCTTGATCCCCCTAAAAAGAAATGCGGTGCATCAGTTGCCCTCAGACGTAGAATTAGAGTCAACCTGTGTGTAATTTAATCTCAGCATAAATGCAGCTGCTCTGTGAAGGCTTTAAAGCTTTTGTTAAAGAACATTATTGAAGAAACAGCATCATGAAGACCAAAGAACACAGCATGGCACAACGGAAAATAAACCATAATCTTGCGAAAGTATTGACACCGCCTGAACTTTTTCACAAGTTGGGATGAAAAACCACAAACATCAATGAATTGTTTAAGTCATTTATGTGTTAGATAAACATAGGTGAGCAGTAAGAAGTTACATTTACTCTTTCACAGTAACTTGAGTAGCATTTTGGTTAAAAAATACTTATTTAGCAAAACTTGAATATTATTATTTTGAAGTACTATTAACTGACAACCATGTTTGACTACTTGACCCACCAGTGATCATTTTACAGAGCAAAGAAAAGACACATTTTAACCAAACATGCACAGACACACCTAGTTTGTGGTAAAGTAATACTCCTTTTATGTTCACAAGCAGTCTTCTTCTTGTGTTATTTTGCATCTACTAGGCCTCCGGTGCAAACTGAACTTACAATATTATAGTATTTCTCCTCTTCTCTTCTCTCTGGAAGTATTTTTGTATTGTATTTTTTAATACCAGAATTAACACATTATTTATATTTTTTCATCTCATTACATAATGTCTTTAAAGAAAAACTAGCAGTTTCTCAGAACTTAATTATTCATTTCAGTAAATCATTTTTTACTCTTCCTGAGTCATTTTGAATGATTAGCTTTTACTTCTGCCTGAGAAAAGTATTTTGAAGTAACACTTGCCTTACTTGAGGACAATTTCTGCTTATCCTACCCATATCTCTTTAAACAGCACAAAGTTGTGTTAATTATTTAGTGGATCGGAACTGATATGAGTAACTTTCAAGTCTTGCCTCAGATTCGAAATTGAATTTACGTCTGGACTTTGACTAGGTCATTGCAACACATGCATACATGATTTGATTTAAACCAAGCCATTGCTCACTCCATTTTTCATTGTGAGACAAGTCATTTCCCCCGTTTAACAGGTTTTCTTCTAGGATTGTCTTATGTAGTTCAGTCCATCTTCCTGTCAATGCTGACCAGTTTCAGTTTCTGCTGAAGAAAAGCATCCACACGGCATAACCCTGTCACTACCATGCTTCACTGTGTAGATTCTATGTTCAGGGAGATGTTGTGTCAGTTGTCTTGTCAACAGTAAGTCTCTGTGTCTCCCCTAGTGTAAGTACTTGGCAACTTCTTTGATCTTTTTGCTTGACTTGTCATTTTAGGTGAGTAGTTTTTCTAAGGATATTGTTTTATAACTTAAACCGCTTCATAACTTTCTGACCTGTCTGCTGGGTGATATTCATGGTGGAGTCATGGAGCCCCAACAAATCTCTCAGGGCTTCAAATTATACACAGGTGCAGTGTATTGACTACTATTATTTGCTCCTTTGTTCCTTCATTTATTTTTTCCCTTCCTTATTTCCTTCCATCATTCCTTTCTTCCTCCTTTCTATCCTCCTTTTTTATACTCTTTCCTTTCTTTGTTCCTTCCTTCCTTATTTATTTCCTGCTTTCTTTCCTACCTCACTTCCTCTGGAATTTGAAAAGGTATGGATTTGTTTTACCTTGAAAAAGTATAGGAACCTTTTTATCTTATTTCAGTATTTGGTTACATTAACATAAAATTATTGTTTTAAAAAGCTTTAAAAGACAAAAATAAAACAAATCTGAACATAAAAAAAATGATAGTGCTTATGATAATAATAAACACAGTACCAAATCAAAACAGGAAAAGATAGAAATCATTCAATGATTGATGCTGTTTTTTTTTTATTTATTATTATTTAAAAGGATACCAGTCACAGTTCACAGTTCACTCTGGTGGGAAGGAGCCCCATGTGTCCCATTCTTGTATGATAAAGCTGTTTGAGCCAGGAGAAGTAGTGCGTAAGAGGTGCTTTACAATTACAACTTGATGCTCCACTAAGCGGAACTACTAGATCACTAAGCACCCAAGGAGCCTGACCAAAAATACAAAAAAAAAAGAAAAGAAGGTAACAGTGACACACTGTGAGCACAGCGTCTAATAACAGAAACGGCAGATCATATATCATTCTACATTTCATGATTATTGCAGGTTGCATGTTACGCGGTAAATAAAATGAGAAAGAATATTGCTGAACATGTTAACGGCATGAAATGGTAGATAGTTCCTGATCAGTCTGAATGTATGCAAGTTTGCTTTTGCAACTCTGCTCAACATCTTGACATTCTTGTTATTATTAAGTGAAACTGCAGCATGAACCCAAGATACTCTACTTCTGAGACGTGTTTGATGACTTGCCCATTTATTTTTAGACATTAATCCTTACTGTTAAAGATTGTAGTTCTTCAAAACTGCAACACATTTCCTTACGTAGATTCTTTTTGAGAAATTGTACGTTGTGTTTTTTCCTAAGGTCATGTAACAGTTTTGGCTTTAAACAAGCTCGATTTAGTTGGACTTGGGACAAAGATGACATTTTGGATTATAAACATCAGCATCATGAATACCAAAAAAACACAATGGCCACTTTTACTCACTCTGCTTCTGCTTCTGTACTCTCCAGTGTTGGATTATTTGCTATTATAGCAACTTTTAACTTTATGTCCTCTTTGTTTTTTTTCTTCAAAGAAACTCCACTTGGTCTGCTGATCTGTTTCCCTGTGACGCCTCCCCGAAGGAGGGCATCAGCTGACAACCAACAACCCAGTGTTCTCCTTCGTTAGCTGATGCACTTGGCTCTGTCTTTTAGTCCCTAACCTTGTTTCTCTCTTCGGCTGTTGGCTGAACTTTTACTGCAACTAACTTTACCTATTCTCTTTCATTCTATAGACTTGAAAACTTGGTAAGAGCTTATCTATTTCACTGTGCTTTACCCTAAATTAAGCCAGTAAAGGAGTTACTACTGCCATTGACTTTTTACTTTTTTTTAACACACAAAGTACTTCTGGATCAGTGCTTCTGCTTTCTTTTGTGTGTGTCTGTCTTCTCAAACCTCCTATCAGTGGTGGCAGATGGCCACTCACAATGAGCCAGTTTCTGTTTGAGGTTTCTTCCTGTTTAAGGAGAGTTTTTCTCTCTGCTGTCGCTATACGCATACTCAGTGTGAGGGATTGCTGCAAAGTCAACGACACGATGCAAGGGATTGTTCACTGTCGGTACATGCTCGTCCAGGAGTAGTGAATGCTACGCTCCTCACCCAATGACCACTAGAGATATACCACTGTACAGACAATTGAAGGCTGGATTGAACACATATGAACTTTTCACAAAGCACTGTTAATTTCATCATCTGAAAATGGAAAGAGTATGGCAGACATTCACTTAAACTGCCAGAAAGAGCATGAAAAAGACAAGAGGCCAATAGTGACTCATAAGGGGCCACAGAGACCCACAGCTCAGGTAGGAGGAATTTACATGGCAACTATTAGTTGTGCACATCAGAAATATGACATCTAATGAAGAGTTACAAGAAGAAAATGGTTATGGAAAGCCATGAAAAGACTGCATAAAATGTAAACATCTGATTAGATGTGACCAAGATTGAATGTTTTGGATGCCAAAAATGCTACATGTGGCCAAAGAGTAAAATCCCGAACACCCCATTCCCACAGTGGAATATGGTGGTGACAGCGTCATGCTGTGGGGATGCTTTTCCTGAGCAGTGACCAGGAAGCTGGTCAGAGCTGAAGGGAAAATAAATTGAGCTAAACACAAAACAATCTTGGAAGAAAACTTGCTAGAGGCAACAAAACTACATTCACATGGAACTAAAACGGAAGCATATTCTTGTATTAAAATGAACAAGTCAAAGTAGTTACTTGAATTGGTTTGAGAGTCTGTGGCAAGATCTGAAAAATCAGATGCTCTCTGTCCAATGTGCAAAACTGCTAAATAAATAGCCTGCCCAAATCTTTGTTGCTGGATTTGCACTAAAAAGTGATTTTACAAAGTAATAATTTGGGGAGACTGAATACATAAGTGAAGGTTTTTAGATTTGTATTTGTAAAACATTTGGACATCATATATTATTCTACATCTACTACACAGTTGTGCTCCCTTTGTGTTTGTTTATCACATACAAATCAAGTGAAATACACTGAAATGTATTGTTGTAACATGAGAAAATATGTAGAAGTTCAAGAACCATGAATACTTCTTAACTGCCACTTATAGTTGTTGGCTATATTTTACATTTCACACGTTAAAATTATATTTTGCATTTGTAAATAAATTCATCCACTACCACTGTAAAATAAATATGTCAAACCAGTCACTTTGTGATGTTATAACCTTTCTTTGTTGTTTTCCCCTTATACCAAATAAAATTACTCGTCTTGCCTTAGTTACCTGCCTCATGCTCCACATTCCAGAAATTATAAGGATGTTATACAAATAATAATTAAACATACAAAACAAAAACAAAAAAATCTGTTATTTGCATCTCAGTTTTTCCTGATTCATCCATGTAAGAAGTGAGACCGAAAGGCACTCAAATAAATAACAGGCTTCTGAAACATGCCTGGGTAAAAAGAGGGACTCAGTCCTGGATTTAGCATTCATCTGTAAAAAAAAAAAAAAACAAAAAAAAAAACTTCTCACTAAAGTGCAGCTCGCTGCGCGGCTGCGTGAAATTACCCTAAAAAAAAAAAAGAAAGAAAAAAAAAGCACCCCCCCCACCCCCTCTCCTTCCCTCCTCTTCTCTCCTCTCGGTCTGTGTGGTGCGCGCTCCTGAAGTCGCGTTCACGTTTGGCAGCTCCACGTCGACATTCTTCCAGCTGCATATAGTGAACTGCTCAGCACAGCACTGGGGGAAGAAAAGGTAAAAGCGGAGGTAGTCACCTTAGGATCAGAGCGCTGCAAGTCCACACTCGGTCATTTACCGCTCTGAAAAAGGGGGCTTTGCATGCAGTGAATCTGTAGCTATGGCCTGCAATGTCCTCAGCTCGTTTTCAGTTTTCTTAGCTTTTTTTTTTTTTTTTTTTATGAGCTGATCTAGACCACCTCGTGTTGGATTGCAGCTGGTTCCTGACGTCTACCTATTTCAGGTACAGTATTGCTTGCAGAACTAACAAATTTACTGCATCACATACTTTGGAAATCATTGCCATGATTTCTGGTTGAGACATTCTGCTGTTTGTTCTATGATATCATTTTTGCATAACTGAAGTTGCTGCCAGCTGATAAGTCTCCTAACTACACTCAAACTGAAACAACTTGATACTCTTGACCTTCTTCAGCCCATTTTTCTTCCTCTGTCTATATTGTTTGGGGAATAGCTCATTTTCAGTGGCTTTTCTTTAGTGTTGAAAGTTGGTGAAGCTCAACAGGTTGAACTGCGGACGCAAGAATCTAATAATAATGAGAAAGACATAAGCAGGCTCTTAAAATTTGAATCATACATGCCAGTGTAGAGATTGTGCAGATGTTAAGTTTGCAACCACCCAAATGTTCAAGCCTGAGGCGCTTTATCAATGAGGGGCCTTGATGAAAACTGTGCAAACTAAAACTATGTTTAGTTAACTTATTTCTGTAAAAAGATAAAACCTGTCTGCCATCACTGCATGTGTGTGTGTATGTGTCCATAGGGTAGCCACATTGCAGCTATGCTCCGCAGGCCCTGCTTCTCCAGCTACATTTTACTCCATATTTCGTCACAAATTACACAGGACAGTCAACATGGCTGTTCAGCATTACTATGTTTTTTCTTTTCTTTTTTTTTATTTTTATTTATTTACCTGCAGGTTGAAGGAGCACCTAGTAGCGAGGAAGCTAAGGTTCCACACAAGGACAAACCTGTGAGGTGGCACTGCTGTGGCTTTCCAAATAAAGTTCTGTGATACACTCAGACTCTAACTGCCTGCAGTCAGTGCATTACAGAACTTTGTTTTGGGAGTGAATGCATCTGCAAACATTTGGACATTTCACTTTCCAGTCTAACATAGCGTGTTTGTTTGTTTTACGTGTTGATTTATTAAAGTTTTCCCTAATGTTTTATGTCTTTTTTTGTGTTCTGAGTCTTATTTTTTTATGGAGAGTTGGGGTGGTGCTGTGCTGTCTTTTCATGTGTGTTTTAGCACTTAAACACTATAAGCTTATGTTAAAGTATTATTTAAAGGAGAGGGAAGGTACCATATGGAAATACTAATCACGCTGCTCAGGTGATCGAGGGGAGGTGAGGCAGAAAGGTAAACAGTTCTGCCACATGTTTCAGAATGTAATGATTCTGAACCAAGGCAAATAAATGCAGATTTATTGGGTTTGATTAGGACTTTATTTCCATAATCCAGTATTATACGTGTCAGTTTCCATTTACATTCCCGATAATTGTGTCCAGAAATATTATCTATTTAAACTGAGTTAATCTTGAGTAAAACACCTTGACATCTACAAACTGGCTGTAATAGAAATTCCAGTCTCCACAGTCTGGAGCATTTTCGACCGGTAATAAGTAAGCAAGGCATGCTGGGAAATGGTGCCTTCAATGGTCTGTCTCGTTTGCTATTTAAACAAAATGTTAGTTTTACATCTGTGAGGAAACTGTTGCTTGGAAGAGGAGAAGCCCTAAATTGTAACTCTTTTATTTTGGCAGCTGCAGTAATTACAGGCACAATAGAATTTCTGTTATGTATAGTATCTCTTCCCAAATTAAATGCATCTAAAAAAAAAACATATTTACAAATACTTACAGTTTTATGAGGTAAATTGGACTCTCATTAAAATTATAACTATAGCATCGGACAATTCAAAGTGCTTTATTTACACTCAAAACACAAGAGACATTAAAATAAGAATGTAACATAGAAAAAAACACTTAATTAAAATAAATGAGATTTAAAACTGAAACAAAATAATTATTTGCCTTCATGGAAAAGCTTAAGTAAAAAGTAATATTTTTGGTCCTGTTTAAAAGAAGCCTTGGTGAAAACTGAGGAACTGGTCCTGCGTAGATAATGATCCAAGTCCTTTACATAGTCCATTTTGTCAAATTACTTTATAACAATATTTATATTATTATTTGAATATATTGGTAATCATCGAGATTTATTTTAAAAAGTTATTGTGTTGTTTCCAACATCAAAGTTACAAACATACTATTCAATGTTTTTTTTTTTTTGTTTATCTTTGCTTTGTTTCATTATGAAAAGTAAAATATTAAATGCTGAAAGGCCTTTATCTTTAAACATTTTAAAAATAACACTCTACTAATAAAATAAAAATTTACTGGCCGAGTTTTATACCGCCCTTTATATCAGAAACTCAAAATGGACAAGCAAGTACAGCAAAACAAGAGTTTTATTTATCTGTGCATGTTGTTCACTGACCTAGCCCAATGAATAGCACAGCTGTAGCCCATACTGCTATTACATCTGTTTGTGGTGACTCTTTAAGAACTGACTTTGCTTTGTAAGCCAAACCCGTTATCCCCGTTCATTGCGCACAATTTTCTGCCATACTTTTCCCTTCCACTCAATCTTCCATTCTTGAGAGATTTATCTGTTTACAGTCATTCAGCAATAACTTTTTGCATCCACTGTACTTGTGAGAACTGTCAGCTGGTTAACAAGTAAGCTGTTTTTTTCCATGTAAAATTGTAAATTTTTTAAAATTAATTTTAGTTAGACCTGAGACAAAAACTTTCTAATTAACAATATTCAGAGGTTTGAAATATATCGTCTTTACGTCATAAACATTTAAATATATGGATTCACTTCAGCTCAATTAAAAAAAATACTTCAAGCCAAAGGGAAATTAAATGTTGCAGCAACACATCTTCCAAGTATCTTCAAATAGTCATTGTGGGATGTTGTGGCGAGGATGGATCTACAATGGTGGTCAGTCTTGCAACAAATTTTAAGAGGACATTGTTGATGTATGACAGTCTCATGACTGTCAAAACATGCTAACAGATCAATATTTGAGCAATGAGAACAATGCTGCACAGAATGAAACCATCAGTTGTTGACAAGCACTGCTAATCCACCTCATTTGCTATTACCACTCCTCTTTAAATGTATTTATCTCTGTATAGCTGGAACGCAGGACAGAGAGAAGTTGAAGTCGGGGATCTGATCCTTTCTCATTATGACTGATGGAAGAGTTGGTTTGAACTTTCTCCTCTCTCTTTTTGATTCTGCTCGGCATCAATGAAGCCTCCTGTTCAACTCCTCTGGGATTTGGAGTAGATACTAATCAGTTGCTCCTAGTTGTAAAAACAGTAACATGTTGCCGCGTTTATTCATTATAACTGCTGCCTGAAAGCTTGAAAATCTGAAATAATAATTTTTTTTGAATGTACCTTTAAATACCATGCCAATGTAAACATTGTGGCATGAAAGCGACATTTCCTGCATGATGTGAAGGCAGCACACTTTCTCTGCGCTGACTTCTGACAGGCGAGCTCCGTGAGATCAGTTCCCTCCCTCCACAACACGGAAGCAGCATGGCGTCCAACAGCAGCGGAGACGAGTCCAGCAGGCATCAAACAGCACGGCACAGACTAAGCGTTATCGCCGGGCATCTACAGAGACCCACAGACCGTAATGCGGCCCTCCTAGCCGTGGACTGCAAAGCCCAGGGGAGCCAACCGAATGTCAACACCAGTGACAGGGGCGAGGGGAGGACGGTGCCTAGGAGGAGGTACAAGGCTGTGATGGAGCGGTCCAGCTACTGTCCATCCTTCTTAGCTTTTGCTTGCTGTTTAGTTTAATTAAGATGCTAGACAAGACCTAAATGTGCATCGCGTAGCCACAGACTGATACACTCTTCCTCTCTGGACTTAAATAAGGCTGACGAATATTGATAAAGCGGATATAGGTTAGCTTGATAGGCTAGGCTAACGCGTTTCTACCACAGATGAGCCATTCATTTGCTAGTGAGTGGGTGCGGCTTGGAGTTTGGTGTAAACTCCATGAGCTTATTATATGGTTTAATTTGTCATGCGAGACTCCCTCGGAGTCAGCAAAGTTGTTCAAGCCTGTGGTAAATGTTGACATAACAGCTTATTCCATGTTTAGCTCCCGAGATAGCAAACATTACGAAACTAGGAGGCGGAGTGCCACTTAAACCCCCCCAACTGGTCTCTCATTGAGCCAGTTACTTTCGTAAACTTTTTATCTTTTTATTATATTCAAATAATTTAGGACTAGCTACGGGGTTTGTTTTGTGTTAAGTTATTGGGTACTTTATAAATGTTTGTTGTAAAGTATGTCTGCAATAATTAGGTTTTATGTAGAGAACCGGTGAAAACATATCGCTCAGATGAATGTCAAAAACTTTGGTCCTCTCCAATGATCTGATTGGCCAGGGCTGGTGGTGGCCTGACTTTCAACCTATTATCAGCTGCGTTTCTGCTGAGGAAATGGCTCCACTATATGCTGACATCTAGTGTTAGTTTAGGATAATGATTGTGACTCCAAAATGTCATGGATTGGCCTTGGTAGAGTACTGTCATCATGTTGTGACCCACATGAAACTGATGATTGTTTTTACAATATTGTGTCTTCATCCTTATCTGTTTTTACTCTGCGATAGCTTGACTGTGACATAATTTGATTAAATATTTGTTCATTAGTGCTGATGTGTTTCTTCAAAAACAAGATTTTGTTAAGCCTCGACATTGTGTCAAGCTTTAGTGAGGCATTTAAGTTATTCAGGATGGAATAATGATACATCTTCAGTTTATTTCACATTGACTCTACAAATTTTAGTAATCCAGATATTCTCAAATCAACATAAGCCAAAATATATTCATACAAGCTGAAATGTATACACATCCATTCATTGATCCATTCATCAATTATCTTCCGGTTAATCCAGGGTTGGGTCAATGGCAGCAGGGTAAGCAGGGAAGCCCAGGCTTCCTGCTGTCCACCCACTTGGGCCAGCTCCTACAGACTGGTACAGGGCCTGCACCATTTAAGACGCCACTCCAATCTGTCTATCCATCTCCCACTCCTTATACATAGGCCTCACTATTATTTGCACAAGTATTAGAAAGTTTCAGAGAAACCACTTTTAAAGTCACCAACCAGGTTGCAAACATCTGGCATGATGTGGCCAGATAGTTTAAATCGATTTGTTTCTTGGCTTGGACATCATTTTTGAGCTTAGTTCTCAAAAATTTTGATTTCAAGACCTTTCCTCGGGCTTAATGTTAACGTCCTTTATATCCCAGGCTGATTTTTGCTGGGTGTTTTGAAACGGTGTCTTATTGGAATACCCAGTTGTTTTAAATTTTCAAATATCTAACTGAAAAATTGTGACTTTTTTTTTATTTTATTTTATTTTTTTTATAAAATTGGTGAATTACTTAATTGGCCACTGGAGAAAAAAGATTGAGCTGTTTTGGTGACAGTAACAGGACCATACGGTGAGGCTTTCAAATATAAGAATAATGGTCATGAATAGTGGTGGCAGCATCATGGTAAGGGCCTGTTTCAGTGATGCACAAAATGGGTGGGATTGATCTATTCAATTGGTGTGTGTATTTCTGAACATTGACCTTCTTAACCCAGTGCTCGCAAACTGCCAGAGTCCTGCCACTTTTAGATCTGTCCCTTGTCCTACACACTTGAATTACATGATGAAGCTGACTCACTTCCATACAGTCATGCTCTACTGAGCTCATCAGCTACCGTAGGAGGACCGCAGGAGTCCGGCCCTCGAGGACTGCAGTTTGAGACTCCGGTTCTAACTGGTGGCAAACAGTACCTGTTTGGGATCTTCTGTTACTTCTAAGATAAAATAAAAATACTGAACATAAAAATAAAATTGGCTTATAGAGCAAAATTCTAAACTTTTGGTGGGGTGCCTCCATATTCATGTTGAATCAACAAGTAGGAGGCGGTTTTAACACTGGTGTGTTTCAACACCACCACAACCCCAAACACATCCAAACTTGTTTCGGAAGGGAGAAGCCAGGTTATCTCAACGCCTCTATTATTACCCATATATAAACTGTTTTGAAAGTCTATGAACAATGTTTAAAAGCCAGCTCCA